ACCTTCAAATGGCTGTAGCCATGAAATTTGCTTCTATTCGATGCATGGACTGTAATTCTTTTATAAGATGAATATATTTCCTGAAGTACCGAAGATATCGATATCTGCTGTGCCAGAGATATTTGCCTATTCTGTACCAACAATAGCCTCTGCAGTATCAATGTTACTGCAGACATCTGCTTTATTGTACATACAAATGTCGTTTGTGCCAAAGTTACTGCCATGTGTTCCACCAAAGATACTCGTCCCATCTGTACCAAATATGCTGCACTTCGTTTAATGAGATGAAATGATGTCTCTTTTACGAAAGGGTAAACGTACTGCATCGAAGAAAATTGGCTTAAAATATATATACTCGTCTCCGGTGTACCTCAGATACCGGCATCTGCTACAACAAAGTTACTGCATTGTGGTTCTTATCCATTGCGGTTCTCCCGTTTCCAAAGAAGTTACTTATTAAGTTATTTTTTGCAACAAAAATACTCTACTCTGACGTTCTGAACTTCTGACGATTTTTTCATTATTGTCCCGATGATCACAGAAAATTGCGGTGCGTTGTGAATTTTTCGCGGAACTGCAGGCTTTACGAAGGACATTTCACTGGCGATTGTCGCTACTAAAACCGTCTGAAAGCTCACGACGAATCTGAAACTTTCATGTTTCTTCATGCACAGTTGTCAGCATGAAGCATCTTCTCTATCTAATTATCGTACTAAATCTCACCCTCTGTCGGTGAACTTCTCGGACACAGACATATCATACAAATGAATGTAGCCATGAAATTTTTTCTATTTTCCTCAATATTTCCTTAAAATATTTTCCTTAAGGCCCAATCCCCGTATCTGGACTAAAGTTCTTTCTATGTTCAAATCCCATTTTCCTTTTAATGACTTTTTCAACTCAAACCCCCATTCACATTCAGCATACCGGCCCCTTTTGACTGAGACGTAAAGCATCTGTCCAGCTGCTGCGTGCCAGTAACCGCGGTCACCGGAGAAAGGCTTCAAAAAACTCGTGTGACCTCCGAGGCCACAACGGCGCGACGCGGCGCGGGTATACACTATACATGCCCCGTAGACATGGGCACTTCCGTGACGCTTGACCGGTTCCTTGCTTGCATCCGCATATATAATCTCGCATGTCCTGATCCTTATTACTTTTTACCAACAATCTTTTTTAAGTTACTTTTTACCAACAATCTTTTTTACGTTAACAGTCCTTTTAGCGCATTTTCTCACTTATGGAAAAATGCACTATTGTGCTCGTCATGTCCGTCCGTCATGTCCGTCTGTCCGTCCGTGACGTTTTCGTCGACGAGAAAATGCGCTCTCTGTCACTCACTGCAGTGAGTTCTGAGTTATATTTTTTATTGTTAACGTGATTATAATAAACATTCAATGCCGATCCAATGGAAATTATTTGGTTTCGATGTGGTACGTTTCAGAAGGTAGACAAGACATCAGTTAACTCCTTCATGAAACGTCTGTTTTTATGCAGCAGAATATGTCACCTATCAGTTCAATTATTTCCAATTGTACAAGATAGAAAAAACGTTGCATGCTGATGTTCTAGGATGTGATTTAATTCAGTGCGATTATTTTTGCGTGAAAGAATTTTAGTAAAGCCGACGATAATTTCTGTCCATCAAATTTCGACGCATCCAAGATTTTCCATACGAGGGAAAGAAAGAAATACAGATATATATTCAATAAAGCTAAACAAATGCCTCCGTTAAATGACACTATTTTACTAATGTTAAACTATGTTCACAATTACGCTTATAAGATAAGCGCAGTAATGGCAGATAGAATAAGGAACTAATCTTGTGCTCCTCTCAGAGCCGTTTTACGTTGTTTCTAAGCTTAATTGCATGGATCTTCGCAACCATTTTGTGCTCCGCCAAATCATTTAAAATTATTTTTTTTAACTCTATATACAAATTTTTGCACGCTATTGGATGTTAGTACGCCATCCTCGCTTTTTCAAGGAGGAAGACCAAAGGAATTTTTTTTCAATTCAAATCGGTGCTCAATTCGTTAAGTTGCACATATTACTTGCTGCATTGATTAAGATCCTTAACTCGCATGATCAAAAACCTAATAGTGGTCACTATTTCACCAACATTTTGGCAATACAATTTTAGTTAACAACCCGCAAAACTAAGTTGAAGAATAACCAAGCAGTTTCGCCACCTCCACTTCTGCCGCAACTGTCGATTAAACTTTCGCTTTCAGCGCCTCACGTGGCAGGACTCGCCTGGGGAATACAAATCCAATAAACTCCACCTGTCCTTAAAAACGCAGAACACTGAACTATAAGCACAATTTTACGCCTAATTCGCAGTAAATAATTCTATTTCTGTGTGTGATTAATGAACATAAACAGACAAGAGCCTCAAGTTCTTTCATGCATGTTTGCAAGATCAAGGAAACCATCATCGCCGTAAGCAGTAAGAATCAATTGAATGTTCGCCCATCTTACCGAAGACGCTCCATTAATCATCAGTCGTTATATATTAACGGAAGCTGACGCAAGAATATTATTGCAAAGTAAACAAAAGTGTGACACAAGAGTGTATTTGACATGGATCGGCACAAATGCATGGAGGGTACCATTAACTAGAGTGATACCAACACATGGCGCGGTGCGGCCACCAGCTCCAGGGTTCACATTACCATATTGGATGACCAAAGCTGCGCATTGTGCATCCCTTACACGCTTAAAGTAGTGGCTGCCAGTACACAACTTTGAAATACTAACAGCAACCACTCATTTTGTGCCAGCCTCCGTTAGTGGGACCTTCCGTGGCCAGTAGCGCCTATACACGAGACCAATAGCGTGGTGAATAATAACGGTTAGTGTTTGAAAGTCGTACTGGACGTCACTATATACTGTCCCCGTGTACAAACACCTTTAGGGCTCATTAGCGCTGGGTTGCATTTTTTGTTCGACACGCGCACGCCGGCCTCGGCCAAACGTGCGCAAAAAGAAGCAAGATAGGAATTAAAAAGTCTGGTCCTTCCTTCAGATGCGCAGATGTTGCAGTTAAGACCGACCTACTTATGCAATAGGTCGTAAAAGTGAACTTGCTGACCGCTCGTTACAGTTGTGCCTACACTTCATGTATTTATTTTAACTACTTGCTTACCTCAGCTCGACATACTGGAACAGCTTTCTTAGAAGTCGATGTAGGGAGCGTGTGATCATTACACATAAGAGATAATCATCTTTGAGATAATCATAGGAGATAATCAATAGACATAATTAAAATTTATGGTCGGATCATTGGTAATCTCTTGTATACTGTTAACTGGTCACCAATAGTATATTTTGACCAATATTGTCGGGATTTAAGTGAACACACAACCAGTCTTTACTATCATAGTGTATTGTCTGATGTAACTGGCGTAATAAACAGCAGAAACTTTTATGATTGTTATATTGGGAAGGGAAAATTATTAATTAATTAAACCAACTACTAATTGTTGATTGGGTAAATAATATTGCCCATAAAAACTATTTTACTAAAGGTCAATATCTGACTATGAACTGACAATGAACGGACTATGAATGATTTACACACACATGAAATGTGAATTAATATATTAACCTTAATTTTACTTGCTGGACAACTTTTGTTCAAGCAGCCGAAATAACGCTAATTGAGCGTAATAAATCCTTGTCTGAATACGTTCACAGATCGCTCTACTTCCTCTTAATGCTAATCCTACCGCCAACCGGTATCGCAACTTTAATTGAGCGTAGAGGGTTTATCACGCTAAGGTTCAGAAGGGAACATATGTACAGGGTGAACCAGAATTAACTGACCCTTTTAATTTGTTAATAAATAAAAAACTAACAACGTTATGAAGTTGAAACTTGTTTTATTTAAAAGACGAACATTTTTATGGTAATATTGTATCCTAGTTAAAATATTGTATCCTATTACAATATTTTATTATTGTATTAGTTAAAATATTTATTATGTATTAATAATATGTATTAGTTAAAATATTGTATGTAATATTGTATCCCAGTTAGTTATTGTATCCTAAAAACTAGGATACAATAATACCATAAAAATGTTCTTCTTTTAAATAAAACAAGTTTCAACTTCATAACGTTGTTAGTTTTTTATTTATTAACAAATTAAAAGGGTCAGTTAATTCTGGTTCACCCTGTAGAATGTGTAGGAGATGGTGCAAATGGGGCTGACATTCCATGTTCCAGCGGTCAGCCAGATGGTTTAAGTTTTGGTTCCTGTGCTCATACCAATTAATTCAACGTAGGGTACAAGCCAGTAAGAAAAAATGTGTTTATTTCATGTAGAAGTAATTTGGGTAAAACCTCGTAATCGGGCTTTTGTTACGCTCTGCGACTCCAAATTGTTATTTTTTCCGAAAATGCTGTTATGAAAGGAAGCGACGGACGTCCAGAAAAAAAACTAGACCAATAAAATAATTTATCCTTTTAAAAAGTATTGATACAGGACAGGACAATAATTTTCTTCTAGAAAATATATTTAGAATTCCGAATTTTTTTTAACGTTACGAAACAAACAAATATAGATACAACGATACATGGCATAACTATGAAGTCTCGGTAAAAATATGCAAATTTCGGAATCTTTTTATCGCTTATCGCAACAAAGCTTTTAGGATCGTTGGCTTACTTTGATGAGTTACTTACCGGCATTGACACAGTTAGTCATTACGCCAAATAATTTACGCAAGAAGTTTATATTAAATTCGCGAACAAACTCTGGCATTTCTAAAAAGCATTTCATACATATTGATTACGAGATAAAAATTGAAGCACGACTTCATAAATTAAGACCATACGTAAAGCATGCAAACATTCTTAAAAAATGAAATTTTAAGTAAAACTGAAAGTAACAAAAAAAATTAACTTTACATCACACCAAAAGGCAAGGCACCGAAAGGTAAGGAAAAAACGTCTCACTTAATCTCACTTAAATTAAACGCCATAAAACAACTCACCGATGTTAACAAGCTTGATGCCGTCCTCAGCGATGGCGTTGAGAGCTGTCGTCACATTCTCCAGGGCCTGATGCTGGTTCATGACACGTTTAACCTTACGAAGACGTCTGTTCTGAAGGATTTCTATGAGAGTCACGAGAGCCACACCATCACGAAGATCCTCTGACAGATCATCAACTTTAAGACCCGTCTCCCTGAGCTGCACATTCACCCAGTTCCTGAAGGTGTGGTGCTGAATGGACACCCACATGTCGTCTTGGTCCTTTATTTTCATGCCCCGGGCGGCGTGGCCGGCGGTGCTCCGGGCTACAAGGCCTGCGTGGTTGATGCGAAACTCTTCTTCCTCTGGGTCCATTTTGGCGGTAAGTAGATAGCTTTGGTGGCCGAAAGTACAAGTAGGTATGAAAGTACAAGTAGGGTTGAGCAGAGATGTAGGGTTGAGCAGAGATGTCGGCTACTATTGTGAAGGTATTAGTAGTTAAAGTAGGGGAAGTAAATTATGTGAAGATAAAGCAGCTACGAAAAGTAAGAATGCTGGCTAAGTTATTTATGGTTGCTACGTATGTACATGCAATAGTTCGGCGGAAAAGTTGTGTTTGGTAGTTCTATTATAAAAAAGTTTTCAAAGCAGGTAATGTGACGGCAGCAAGGGAACGGAAAGGGAAAGGTGACTAGAACTGTACCAGTGGCGTATGGAAGCGTCAGGTGAAAACTACGTGGAACGAAGAAGTCCTAGAAAAACGTCATAGAAAAAGATAATACGCGTAGCTCAGCGGCCACCCTCAACTCGTCGGTGTAACCTAACATGAACCTACGCATTCATGAGCAACATTTATTTACATAGCTATTGTGTGACAGTCACTGTGGAGAAACAAAAACAAATAACTTCAGGAAAATTTTTGAATATATGCACTCTGTTTCCGATTAGGACTATGTACGTTGAGGAAAACAAGCCGAATTAAAGTAGATAGAAAATGAACCTAGTTTCGATAGTCGAACTCGAAGGTAAATGATAAGAAGTTAAGAACGCATTGTATAACGCTATCATTTCAAAATCAAAAAACTTTTTTTTAAACCGAAATAAAGTATTCAGAATCCATACAAAGAAAACCTTGCATTTTATATTTGAAGAATTGTCACAAGAAAATTTTACTTCATAACTTAATTAAGATTCAATATTGATCACATAGGTAAGGATCGTGATGTCTGATGTCACATGAGTGTACCTAACCGAAAGATCAGTTCGTACCCCGTGCCACGACAACCTAACCAGCGGCACATCAATAAATGTCAAGGAAATCATAAGCACAAATTGGCAGGGAGTCGTTCTGCAACGCTCACTACCTGTCATGCGTTCAAGTCGCCTTATTTTTCTACTTTATTTCTTGAGTATTATCAGCACATTCACTGTTCACAAGTATACGGCTTAGGCTAGCCTGGTGTCACTGACGATATTATTTGATGTGAACGACCAGATCTGGCAGATTATCCAGATGGAAATGGCATCAGGGGATGTGAATAAAGCCATTCACAAAGCCACTAAGTCAAGGTTGAAATTCAGCAGATATTTCTACGAAATAAAAAGAGAAGTATTAGTCCGCATTACGTGTTACTATGGCATACACAATCGTTCGAATGATGGATGTACAAATATAAACGGTGCCTTTTTTCGATGAGCGCAAGATTTTTGGTGAGGAACACACGTCGCACACTCCACCTTCCACGCAGGCAACCGCCAAACTGACCTGCTGATAGCTAGGTTGTTAGTCGTGGTCGCATCAGTCTTGCCGAAATGTTCCAGCTCAATCATGAGAACGGCTTGGTTGTTTTTAGCCAAATTATTGAATGTGCAGCATGCTGGAAGCGATGGTACGATGATTCACATGTTTCTTTCAACTTTTTGCATAAAACATACTTGTAACAGTTGCGATCGCACCACCATGTGCGGTATAGATCAGAATTATTGATGTGTTCTTCTGTCACACGAATCGTGACCACTACCTTTTCTTGACCTATAAAATCTTCTCATGCTACTCAATGACAATATTCGAATCAAGAAATCCCACTAATGATTTTTTACTTTTTAGATTGAATTAACTTGAAAATTTAAAGACGCTTGCCAATAATTTCGTTGGAAAAAAATATGCTTGAAGATCATAAGATGAATGGAAGAATGTCATCTGTTATCACGAAATCTTGCTGACAAGACTTTTCGATTGATCGATTTCGATAACATTGCTATAAATCATAATTATTCGATGCTTTTGAATTTTCCCTTGTCAATTTCCGTATCCTATGCTACTCATAATTCACACTCGTTGTTTGACTACCAACATCAAATATTCGTTCTGCACATTAAACGGCAAATGCTGCATAACCTTGGCAAAATTTTAAGTAACTCAATCGGTTCTCTTTGTTATGGACAAATGTTTCACTGTACAATTTTCGGGTCAAAGAACGTTAAGATTTTTATTTTTCTGCATTGTGATGCGTTGTTTTATGTGTTGTGCAGACACTGAAGTGGATAATAGAATTTTAAAATTTTTAATGACTATTTTTCCTTATTTCCATGTATTATCAAGACCTTAGACAACGTGTTGCGATTTTCTTTAGCTGAACATAGATAAAATTCTTCGTCCAGGAGCTCTTTTTATAGCTTGCAATAATGGATAATTTTCTTTTTCTTTCCCTAAACTCAAGTACTTCTTGTACAACTCAACTGTGATAATTATACTGAATTAGAGACCATTAAGATTTCACGCCATTAGATCTGAGCAGGTAATGATAACCTAATTCAGGTTGAAGACGAGTAATCTTGATGATTATTTTACAATATACCAGGAAGGTATTGAAGACTATATTACCATGCAGACGATGATATGGGAGGGAAGTTTATAAAATATAAAGCTTAAATCTACCATTTAGTGAACTTTTAAACAATTCAAACAACAGCGTATTTCAATTATGATTGAAGTAAGTTAAAAATAAGTGTTCAGATGCAGCTGTCACCAATCTAGTGATGAGTCTCAGGGTAATAAAAAGTATATTTGATCTCGGAAGCAAATGCCCGAGGACGACCTTATTTTAAAAACAAAGCAAAAGTAATTACAGGGTTGGACACAATTGGAACTGAAGTAACTCAGACAAGGATTGCCGAGTCACTAAAATGTTTTAACAAGATTGTACAAGATAAGAAATTTAAAATAAATCAAATAACATGACATTATAGTTGGTTGGAAATGATGGCAGGAGTCACCAACGTAGTTCAAATTATGCTCTTTTCACGTATTGAATGTAACGTCAGAGATTTTACACGAGATGAAAAAAGGACTCATGGTTAAAATGGTAAAGGAAGCCTAAATTTGAGTAACTGTTTCATTCAGTGAAACAGTAGTTCGCCGTCTGTCTGTTTTTACTTTTGCACCACCACACGAGTTCACTAGCATTAGGAATGATGAATGAGTAGAATAAAATTAAGCTATGCTAAGTGATTATCCTCAACAGTATATTTGATCAAAAACTGCCTATCAGCAAATCAGCAATACTGCCTATTTAGAATTATTTATATATATTACGTAGCATTTCCACGTATATCAGTATTTTACCTACTATCACTCAAGCATGCAAGTTATAAACTGATCGCGATATTCTTAACGCTTTGCGAGTATAGATTACATAGTCTATGAGGTGGCATAATCCAGCGAAACTTAGAGCTAGACAAGGTTCTTCTTCAAGGCTGGCCTGGTTCTTCTTCAAAACGTATGAATAGAATAGAATAGAAATGTCGGCACTGAAGAAATAAGCCCATGGCCTGTTGCCGATTCTTGATTTTTTCGTGACTTGATTCACAAGGGATCCGGCCTTTGGAACCCGATCTTTCCATAGCTGACGGTTGATTGAGATAGCTGCTGGACTTATTGCCTGGTCCGTAATTTGCTAGGCATTTTAAGACTGAACATATGCTCCTGCATAGCTTCGTCTGGACTTATTGCCTGGTCCGTAATTTGCTAGGCATTTTAAGACTGAACATTTGCTCCTGCAGTCCTGCATAGCTTCGTCTAGTCTGTTCTTGAAGGCGTTCATACTCGGAGCTTCAACGTATGGACTACGGGTCATTCAAATCTGATCACGCTGCGACAGGCCTATCCAGGCCTATTTTTCAATGCCGAAAATACTATACTAATGGTGACAATGAGGCACCAGAGGCTGAATCGTACGCAGTTGAACTTTTTAATATATATTTCGTATGGGCTCACTCTTTCTTTATATATTTAGATATTTTTTTACTATATATTTTCGATGGGCTCACTAACGAAATGGCGGCGTGAGGGAAAAATTCTTCGTAAACCTTTCTCAGCCGTAAAATACATGGTATATAAAAAATGCGTCTGTAGCTACTAATTCAGCAAGTCTCCCATGTACAATTGGTTTTCATAGTTTCGGGCACCTTAGAAAATACTTATTCGATGTCAGCCTCTACTATATTTTCGATACTACTACGTTTAATGCAAATTCATCCTTCAGATTTTGGGATCCACAATGTTAAACTCAATTTTCCAGAGTTCACCACCTGTTGATATCTTATTATAGTATTCGTGAGTAGGTTGAGCATGCGCCAGGGTGGGAACTGTAGACCGAATCGACACTTCAGCGGACTCGGCTGCGGACTGGCCTGCGGACTTGAATCAAAACCTAGCTTGACGTTCAACTCGACCACCCATAAATCCGACAATATCGGACGGATTTCATTCAAATTTGAAATATAAGTAGATAATATCAGTAATTTGTGGACGGAATTTTTTCAGATTTTTACATCAATAACTTTTCTATTAATACGGAAAACCTAACTTCATATTCAACTCGACCACTCATAAATCCGTCAATAAAGGACAGATTTTATTCAAACTTGAAATATAAGTAGATAATATCAGTTATCTGTGGACGGAATTTTTTCAGATTTTTACATCGATAACTTTTTTATTAATACGGAAAACCTAACTTCATTTTCAACTCGACCACCCATAAATCCATCAATAATGAACGGACTTCATTCAAATTTGAAATATAAGTCGATTGATAAAAAAATCTGAAAAAATTCCGTCCACGAATTACTGATATTATCTACTTATATTTCAAATTTGAATAAAATCCGCCCATTATTGACGGATTTATGGGTGGTCGAGTTGAACATCAAGTTAGGTTTTGATTCGAGTCCGCAGGCAGTCCGCAGCCGAGTCCGCTGAAATGTCCGACCGGTGAACTGTAGTAGCGCCAGGCATTAGGTGAGGGTTAGAATTTGTTACGATTTACTATAGTCAAGGAATTTTGGAGGTTTGTGTACCGTGGCTTTTGTAGGAATTTGTAGGAGCTGCTGAAGCCAGGATAGGTAATGTCAGGTGACAATGTTGGTGCCAAATAATCGTCCCTGGATATTTCCTCATTAATATCTTCCTGGCTGAGAGATAGTCTCCTTCACTGCGATATCTCCTTAAACATTTCCTTATTTCGCTTTCCCTGTTTATCAAGTCACGCCCTTGGTGACGTCGGATAGCGAAGCTATAAAAGCTCTGCCTCAAGCGATTAACTTCAGTCTTGGGGCGAGGACCGCTACGGTATACCCCATTGCTCCTGTCCATGTCAAACAGGACAGTAACGCTAGCTCAACGTCTGAGTGCATGAAGAGCGCTCTGCTGATACACTCTAGACTTATTCATTTCAACAAGAGCCGAAGACATCAGTGTTGAAGCCCCAACTTGTAAACTTAGATTATCCTAAAGACCTAAACTGTAAGCCGAACTATAATCCAAATTCCAAAAGTATATTCTATAATCGTTTACGCTGTTCCTCTATATCCTCGGATCCCGCTACAACAGAACCATCACTCAGGTCATACTAATTTACCATTCATGTGAGAGGTGCACAGAAAAGCACCTCGTACAGTAACGTAATAAACACGAGTTGTCTAAGGAATATGCTAATTTATTAATCCGTGCGAGAATTAAAGTGTTAGGCAATACAGATAGAACCGTCAACAGTGTAAATAAAATGTCTGAGAAAATGCCGAATGTGAATATGATGTACGAATGAGATAATGTACAAAGACAATGGCGTATAAAGAGGCCTGCAAACAAGATCGTAATTAATATATAAATTTCTCATGGAAGTTGATATTCCGAAATTAGGTGAAACAGAGTTTATATTCAGACATTTAATATTCGTTACCATCATTATTAAGGTAACTAACACGAATATACTTCTACTATACATACATGAATAATTATTAACTTCTAACTCTCACACAGTGGATTATATATATCTTACCAGAACACATGAGAGAGAACACGGCACACGTTTTTAGTAGCGCGTAGACTGTAGAATAGCGTGGGTTTTGGTGTTGCCAAAGGGCTTGGTTGAAAAAGGCGCTACGGATGTACTAGAGCTAACGCGAATTACATAATATAATAATTTGTTATCACCATAGCTTAAAACTATTACAAAATTATTAGTTATTATATATATTAAGGCTGGAAATGATTAAATCGCTTACAATGTCGACTATAATTACTTTTTATTTACTATATTTGACGTTGGTATTCACACGGGGTTCACAGGTGAACTGTACAAAATTAAGATATTAGGATGAACATAAAAAACAGTTTTTCTCTAATAATACTCTTGGAAAAACAACAGAATCTGCGACGAAATGATTATGAAGTTTATTCAGAGCATAATACTGCATGATTGCTGAGGGCTGTCAATGGTGACACCAACATAGTACATACAGTGGAGGGCTGTCAATGGTGACACCAACATAGTTCCTACAGTGGAGGGCTGTCAATGGTGACACCAACATAGTTCCTACAGTGGAGGGCTGTCAATGGTGACACCAACATAGTTCCTACAGTGGAGTGCTGTCAATGGGAAGAAATTAACGTAAAGTTTCATGGAAATTTTTACTCTCAGTGTGCTGCTAGAAGTAATGAGTACATATACATAAATTGCGCTGTATTGATGACTAGAAAAACAAGTGAACACCTTGCTAGTAATTCGAACAAATGGCTGGAACTTATAATCCCAATTCATCAACCAATATAAAAGTACAGTAAGTTAACAATAAGAAACCCTAGTTCAATTCTGTTATAATTTTAAGTTATCAGCTATCTAGTATTTCTGCTGGCCCCGGCGTGATTACTAATTTACCACGCAACTCTGCAGTTATTCGTTCCGGCTAATGGTCGGCGCTTCGATCCCAATTTTTCAGTAGGTCAGCCTGTGTGCCATGACTGTAATCTTTCAAAGCATATTTTTCAACTGCGTTTCTGAACCGTATTTCTGAACCGTATTTCTGAGCCGTATTTCTGAACCGTATTTCTGAACCGTGTTTCTGAACCGTATTTCTGAACTGTATTTCTGAACCGTATTTCTGAACTGCATTTCTAACCCGTATTTATAAACTGCATTTCTGAACCGTATTTCTGAACCGTATTTCTGAACCGTATTTCTGAACTGCATTTCTGAACCGTATTTCTGAACCGAATTTCTGAACTGTATTTCTGAACCGTATTCTGACACTTTTTGATTAAATATTTCAATTAAAATAATATTAAAAAAAAGTATGGTCCCAGATCCCTGGAGTTTTTGTTTCAACCGCGTCATGTTACGCATGAAAATTTTTCAGAAACGAGTCAAGTTTCATGGAATTTTAAACTGATGCTCCATAATAGATTTCAAGTCACTTTAGGTAGCACTGAAGTGGGCAAAAATTTGACTGCATGCACTGACGAAAAATAATGCTTAGCAATAAATTCTTAAGCGTGGAATCAAATTGTCAGCTTTTAATCTTATCAGCGCCTCATTTAGAATAAGACGAAAGATGTAAAACTCCGTGCAGGTTCGGTGATATAATCAATGAAGGAATATGGAGCATAATAAATCCTTGGAGCGCAGTATATTCTTAGTACCGGCAAAGTGGTAATATTCTTTTCATATCCCATTCTGTCTAGTGTCTCCTAAGCTCGGTATAGTTCTGGTGTCTTCAAGTCAGATGTTAAAGCGGGAAGATTGAAGGCTTGCGCCTGATCACGCGTCTATCAATTCATGATGTAGGCTGAGGCATTTTACTCCTAAATGGGCAAAGATTTTTTATTTTAACAGCCGGCATTCCCAAACATATAATTAAGATGTACCATAAATTTGCCCCGGTTATTTATTTAGGTAGGTATGGTCACGTTTTCGCAGCTTTTTTCAACACAGGTTAGAAGAAAACGTCTTAGGATCAAAGATATGAAGAAAGTCTAGGCAATTCTAAAGTTAACGGACAGAACAGATCATTCGTGTCTGTTGGCAACGTGTTGGATCATGTCGGTCTAACGGCACCGAGAATATACCCTGACAGAAATCTGACTGCATTATAGCTTTCTATTTATCTAAATTTATTTAGTATCACTAAAGTGAAAATTCTTGATGTAAACTGAAGGAGCCGAGTTGAAGTGCCCGTTGAAGTAAAGTTATTGGACCAAATTTCCACCAACAATAAATATTTTGCGACCCTATTTTGGGTTTAATAAAATATTAATTTTAGGTTTGAGATACCTAACATTAACTTTCGCCGCCACGTTCCTGCAGCCTTGGGTTGCAAAGACGGGGTTGTCTTGCGGCTCGTAGACCTTGGTATCAGCCACTCTTCTGTAAAAATTAGAACTTATAGCTACAAAATCCTTCCAGCCCATTATCGATTATTTTTTTTCTATTTCAGCGTTTTATGACAAAATACGGATAAATAGAAAATCAAGGGATCTTGTTAAGAATAAGCACCCCAGTATGACCTTGTTAGGAATAAACTCCCCAGTTTAAGCATAAGAACCTAACTTAAGGTTAGTTAGTCAGTAGTAAGGTTCTTACTGACCTAATGTTAGTAAGAAACCCGGTATAAGAATAGGAAGTAACCTAATTTGTTTGTATTATTCATTCAACTAAACCCTGTTAACAATAGTCACCTCAGTAATGTTCTTGTTAAGAATACGCACCCATGTAACGTAGGGGTGCTAATTCTTAACAAGATCAAAATCAAGCATGCCTACACGAGTATTTATTAGTGATTATAGTTCCTATTAAAAATAACGACCGAGTTAAGGAATCACAACAAAGACTCACTTGATGATCGCAGGATCGGGTATGACTCCCTTAGATGCCAACGCATCGCGCGCACAAAGCTCGATGTGCTTACGCTCCATGGGCAAGAACGGCACGAAGAGATCAACCAGAGCGTGCTTGATTAGGTCACTATTTTTCAACCCTCCTGTCCCATGAGAGAATAATTTTAAATGACTCATGGAACTTAAAATTCTGTCATGGAAATATTCTGAAAAAGAATGATGGATAAAATGCGGTACTGTGAGTAGTGCATGGCAGAGAGGAGTTAATAAAGGATAGACTCCTGCTTTTGGTATTTTTTTCCATTCGGGACGAGACGAGACAACTGGGTTTGTCCAGGTTTGCGATAAACACAGGGACCATTTTCTGCTCTCCGTGGAAATTCTGGGACAGTACCGAGACGAGACAAGACGTCCCGGCTAAAACAAGAGCTTTAAGGGAGGCGTCTACCCTCCAGAAAAACTTCCACATTTACTAACGGATCTTTCTGAAACTTCACACATATATGTTAAACCGTAATAAAGCAGATTTTGTTCGTATGATGTATTCGGAAAAATTAATAGAAACGTGAAATTCATAGAAAACGGACAAAAAAAGGGGTACTTTAAAAATCTATCTCCTCCTACAGTTTTCAAGCTACAGCACTGAAAGGTATACCATTTGATTCGTAAAGACCATACCAATCGAGTAACGAAGCTCGATTTTTTATTTTTTCCTCCCGTTTTCTTCTCATTTTCTTCAGATACCCCCCCCCTTTTGAATCCAACCTATGCACAAATCTAAAAAATGGTTTCGTTACTCGATAGGTATGGTCTTTACGAATCGAATGGTATATGTCTCATCGCTGTAGCTTCAAAACTCTAGGAGGAGATAGGTTTGCCGTGACAATAAGTGTGAATGTTCAGGAGAGCGCGACAAAGTCCCGCGCGCATCGCAATAGGCACTCAATGTAGCAAGTATACAAAACTAAACGTTACTGGAGCTTGATTCCAGTCAAGGATGGTGGGAGCGACTGCATGTACACCTCCTCATACGACGCCAGGCGGGTAACTAAGGTGCACCTCAAGCAGACACTCTATTTAAAGGGCTCGCAGCGAATTTCCTCCTATTCTATTTGTTAAAGAACTCCCCCACCCCCCTCCCTTTCATGATCTGTCGTGAACGCATAAATCAACGTACAGAGATGGTAATGGTACCGTTGGATAGGGCAGAATGTCAAATTTAAGATGAGACTAAAAACCGGAAAGCCAAATACGAAAACTTTAGGGTAGACGCCCCCTTAAAATTTCTCGAAATTTCCATCTTGTGTAACGAGACATACATATAGTTTATTCCTAATATGTAATTAGAATAGTTAATTCTTTCAGACATTATCTGATCAACATTTTGTCGGCACACAACGTTACAGATACGTATATTGCTATGTAAAATTACATCGCTATTGCCCAGCTGGCCAATTTGAACGGCCAGAATGAAATTGAAAACATAACTAATTGTTAGAAATGAGCAGCGGGAGGAATTATATACAGATTTTTATGTCATTTCGTTTTCGTTTAAAACGAAATAATTACGCAATTGAGCAGCTCACAAGTCCCTCAGTTCTGAACTGATCTGCGTGAAATTTATAACATATCTTATTAATAGCCTCAATAGGAATCCGCAATAGGAATCGCAATAGGAATCGACTCCGCAATAGGAATCGACACAAATTTTTGCGTTGCTTCGTGTTCGATTTAAACTACGGCCTGTACTAATCGTCACTAATTACCAGACTAGTGGCCTCGTGTACAGGGATACTGCCTGCTTCAGGGGTTGTAGGGAGTAGCGGCCAGTAGCGGCCTGTTGTGAGCCTATATTTACAGCTAACAAGTTTTTACGAAAACGAAATCTGCCAGGGAAACAAAAATACTTCTTTTCTAACAATCTTTGGTTTGAAATTAAATAACCGAGAGGTCAAACGAACAAGTTCAGAGAGCTTGAGGCGGTGCGTTTTCCACTAATTGATTGCTACAAATTACTCGCATCGGCGGTAGGCTAGAGGAGGTGATGGCATAATAGAATTTCTTCAATGATTTGCTAGGGTGTAAACTTTGCCCTTGGTTAAACGACATCAAAACTTACGACGTATTCGTCTGTTATTCTCATGTAAGTTTTGACTTTTAAAATTCAATGAACCCTCATCTTCATTGCAGATCTTTCCAAGGTGGTCTATTAGCTCACTAATTTGACTGTCAAATCTGCCCATGACTGGCGACTGCCCATTAACAATTAAGGGCTAACTTGGTACCTATTCATTAACCAGACGTTCGGAATGTTTCGTTTGTTTTCGTATAATATGGAATATCTCGTCTCGTTACGTAACGTCTCGCTTTGTATCTATTTGTCTCGTATCGTTTCATAATTACAGGGACACAAGTCTTGTCCCGGTTCATTTACGTTTATTACGAGACAAATTTTACCCACTGTCCCGTTATTTTTTCTCGGTAATTTCTTGTCTCGTCCCGGTATAGACGGTTAATTTCGATAAAATTATTCCGAGAGGCATGAGTCTAGTTAAAGATACTGTAGACACAATTAGATTCTGTCCGCTTGCCTGAAAATAATTAACCAAATGCTAAAACTATGATGATTGCAGAAAAAATGTGTAATGCAGTGTGAAAGAAAAAATTTCAAGAAAGTTTGAGAAAAAGCAAAAAAAAAACGCAATGCACGTAAACATGTATAATGTTGGATTTTTAAACACTGTTAAGAGAAATGACACAATAACCAATGATACTAAATCAAAAGAAACTACAAAACGAAAAAGAGGGAAAAGTGAATTAGAGGTAAAAGGTCACTATGCTCTTTAACGGCTGAGTTTTAAATAAAAATTAAGTCCCAGAATTTAATTAATTAAATTCTTCAGTCTTGAAGCCACCCTCAAACTGATAAAATATCAGGTGATCATTGACCAGCAAAACTGCATAATTTAATATCGCATTTCATTTTACTTTTCGCTTCACATACCAATGGCACGAGTTAGTAACGAGTGATTTCTGATTATATTATTATTATATTTTTTATTCTATATTTTTTACTATAGTATAAGGAGTAAAAAGAACTCTTAACCTTTTTCTTCGAAGGCGCCTGCCGCCACACGACCCTCCATGTCTTCAAGCGTAATGTCGGCTCGCTGCTTGCCCGCTGTCAACCAATCCAGAACAAACTTGCGGATCGCCGTAGTGCCAGCGTTGCTCAGAAACAAAAACGTGGCTTTCCTACAAACAATAAGTAACTTTTTCATTCCAAGCAATATCAAGTTCATGCTGTATCATTAGATACCCTAACAAAATTTATAGGCGCGAGCGACCCAGCATTAGGGCCGCCTATAGGTCTCGGGGAGCACGTAAATCAGCTCCTCTATGTCCGCTTTGACTCAAGGTTTGAAGGGCAGCCTCTGGGCAGCTTGCTAGCTCGGTATGACTCGGCTCGGCCAACCCTTGTCATAATTTCAGACGACTATAAAGTCGGAAAGGAGATTCTTTCCAGAAACTGATTTCGATCGGGTGGCCTATCAAAGCCAGAATAATTAATTTTGCGCCACGTGTAGTGACTATTCGGCTGAAGCCTTGGCCGTCCTCGAATTTTGTTAGTGTATAAGCAATATAAGATGGAGGGTTTTTCCAAAAGAATGTGAAAATTCGTATTGATCACTACTTAGTTATTCTAAACTTGTGAAATACTTATTATAAATCCTTGATAATGTCATGCGTGTTATTAGCATCGAAATAACAGAAATCATTATCATCGCATGGAATTGAATAACAATGTTTCTTTAGTTGTGTTTCTGCACCATACGACATGGATTATTGAAGACCATCGATACCTTTCAAATATCACTGACGTGAGAGCTTATAAGATGTTTTGGGCCTTTAACCTGTAATCGACGCCGTGTATCTCAGTGTGGGAGTCGACGAAGGGCTTGAGAGCATTCAGCAGCTCGGGCGCCATCATGTGCACCTCATCGAAGATGAACATCGACCGCTCACATGCCATCACACTTTCACGTATTTTGTCTGCGAGTTCCACCTGCCGTGTAAATTATAGTGGTTGACCAATAGCTTGCGTAACTCCTCGAAAATGTTAACATGGGTGAATAGAAATAGTTGTCAGAGTTATTAATAGTTACTTTGTTTGATTCTGAAGCTCAGTTGTTAGTTTGAACGAAAGACAACATAAAGAGGCAAACGTTTCAAAAGCAGGAATAACTAAACCAATATCAGCACAAAACTCGTAAATTAAATTTTAAGGTAAAAAGAAGCTGGTCAACGACACTCACTTTATAGATGTCAGTTTCATTCATGAGTTTGAAATCGACTGAAGCGATGAACTTTCGAATGTATTTGCTTGTGAGGCCTTTCTTGAAAACAGCTTCAGCCACCAATTGCGATACGAAATTCTTACCCGTGCCAGTTTCACCTTGCAAGCTGATCACAAGTGCCTGCGTTAACATTTTATCAGGAAATACAAAACATATCACGATAGGAGCAGTGATAAATATTAATGCCTGAACAGATGGAATGAGTTGTGCGAGCCATGCTAGTCAGTCAGGCGTTGCACAATTGGGACGTGAATTGTCACTCGGCCAACCCTTCATGTTGAATCGTTTACGGTATCGTTGATTGGGTTCTTATGTCATGCATGGGTTTCTAAAAACATTGGGTTCTTTTAATACAATTCATTCTCTAAAAACTTATAATTCAGGTTTAATTCAAAATAATTACATGTACATTTTCTAGCAACATAAACCTGCCTTATAGCGTACATTTTGCTTCTTTCTGCAAACGCTTTTGCCCCCTCAACACATATGCAAATTTCGACGATTTCTTTCAAATAAAACAAAACAAAATGGCCGAGCAGACTGGCTTCACATAAGCCAAATTGAATCTCCAGCGTGAAATTTTACTGCAGAAAATCAGAGCCACGAACCTTGTTAGGCTGTGGGTCTTGGAAATGGCTGATGATGGCGGGCATAACAACATCTTGCACCAAGTGCTGGCCGTGCACACGAGATGACAACGATTGAATCATCTCTGTTTGAAAATTTCAGACCTTAGAAACTAACCAGAATCAAATTTATACATGGGATGGAGATAAGAACTTCAAGAAGCCTATAAGCTTAGTATCCGAGAAGCCATTTAAATATTATCAGAGAATGAAAGTGAAAACGGACTGTATTTTTAAATATATATATAGGAAACAAATGCAATCCGTTATAAGCGAGAGAGATAAAATTCGAGACCTTGAATATGATATTTTAGTAAGTAGGCAGGAACCTATTGAATTAGGGCATATGAGATAATTTTAGGATTTTGTGAAGGAATTAACTTACTGCTAATGTCGGGCTGAATCCAGGGAGGCAAGCAACATTCCACTACTTCACAATTCGGTTGATCATCCTCAAATGCATGGAACATCCAATCTTTAACAAACGCTGGCAAGAACCATGCTTGTGTTTCCTTGCAGCCACACAACAGCAGCGTCAAGGCTGCCGCTAATAGCTTCATCAACATTCCCAACTTCAAACGATATTTTTTCCTGTGAAAAAAGAAAGAAATGATAACCAAGAATTTACAAGGAAATTCAATTTCAATAAAATTCACAATGTTCTCATTGACAAATTTAACGAGACCAGATCTGCCATCTATGGATAGGGAGGAAGTTCTAGGAAAATCAGGTTCAAAACTTAAGAAAAGAAATAAAATCAAGAGAAAAACGAAATTTTAACGATGGAAATGTAACAATAAAAAGCTTGATATGTGCACTATAAGTAACGTAAAAATAATAAGTGCCTTGGGTAAGAAATGAATGGGTTATCAAGACAATGTTTTCACTATAGTACAGTGCTTCCTCTCCGGGCGTTGAACAATCGTATCTCCTGATATGAAAACTTTTCCAATATGAAGCTAATTGAATTACAAATTGACTTGTTAAGATCATGCTCTTTTAAAGTTTTAAGATCATTCTTTCCGTTTGGCGTTAAAACAAAATTTTAACTTCTTATGAACAACTGTAAATTTGCGAGTAAATTTTGATTAAATAATGCGGTCCACAAAATCGTTCTTGTTCGAATATCATTTCGAAATGACACAAGGCAACATTAAAGTATGGAAAATGAATATAAAATGTCATCAAAATGAAAGGTAAATGTATGAATTCTTTGCACGTAATTAGAATTCAAGCATACTGAACATAGCAAGTCACGTTGTTTTCGTGATTTCATCCACTCTGATTGTCATCGATCGACCCCAGTAACTGGATTTATTACGGTCATAGTGTGAGCGGTACGATCACAGCCGGCACTTACACCCTCACTAGCCGGTGTCTCGCACCGGAATGGTTTGTTTTGAAGTCGCCAACGACAACCTCTCAGCGTACGGCAGCACGGAATGCACGCGTTCAATAGAAGTTTCCATGGTTTCATGGACCAACCATGGAAGTTTCATTCCAGTAAGGGGATTTTACCGACATTGTTCAAACTTTCTTAAGATAATCTATTATGAATATTATGTATACGTTTCAGTTGAATTTCGCCTTCGTTTTATCTGTGTTCTGCATTATTCGCACTTGTTATGGTAAATTAGATATTTTGTTATATACGCTTCTTCCTTTTAACTTTTTTTCTGCCGTCTTTCTTTACCTAATAAAAAAAATACTGCTGAATTTGCGTATAATATTTATCTCATTGTTTGTTATATTCGGTTCTGCCTCACGAAACTTCAACGTAAATTTTGTTCTGTTTTACCCCGAAGACACTCGCTAATTTTGCATACTACTGCAATTTCATGAAGAGCAGTTAAATTTGTCTATGCTGAAAAATCCAAAAGTAAAGTTTTCTTCGAGAAAAAAATTTAAAGAAACTATTTGAGGAAAGACTATACTGTATTACACGGTTGGGCTGTAAACACCACAAACCATGGTGATGGAGGCTTTAATGGACTATTATAATTCATTTATTTAATTAATGTTTTATTGTTTTGTATATTTTCTACTAGATTTCGTTTTACTGAGAGTTTATGGTCACGGTTTTTTATACACGACTTCCATTTTTCACTGTGCTTGTGCTTTGAAGTTTGAAGTGGTTAATTAACTTGAATTATATTTTTCCAAATTAAGATATATACAATAATTTTTCTTGTTTTATTAACGGACATTCTTTAGGTATTATCTTTTTTTTAGTTCGATCATTGACTTTTAGAACTTATTTAAGAATTTTTTGTGTTCGTTTATGCCACGTACAAATTGCGGAAAAATTTAATAATTTCTAATAAAATCAGAAGAATGAAAGTGGCATAGGTCACTGATCATCAATAGCTTTCACGGAGTAAAATTAGGGTAATATTTGATAGTGATCTATAGAGTAATATGGTAATATTTTATAGCGATGGATGGGGTAATTAGGGTACTTTTTTAGGTACCCTTTTAGAGGTACCCTTTTTTTGTCAAACTTCTGAGCAAAACACGAGTCTTGGTCACAGAATTACGTTCCACTTGAGAATATTACAGTTTTTTCATTGACAAAAGCTAGCCAAAATTACTTCAGTGAAATAAATCGTAAGAGAACATAAACCCATAAATGTTTTTGAATAAATTTCAGTTAACAAAACTTTGTTATGATCTTTTTGCCTTCTTAACTGAAATTATTTTTAATTGAGATTACTATTGATTGCACGAGTCACAAAATATTTTCACAAGTTTGAAATAGTGATGTGCTTGCTATTACTATATTATTATTGCTATATAAATAAAGAATGCTTATTACGAAATAAATATACTGATAAAGTGATGATATAGTCGACATGCATTCAAGAGAACTCGGTTCGATGATTTCGATAAATATTGATCCGTCCTTTTGATATCAACGTGAATTATATCTAAAGTAACTCATGACTGTGTATCTTCGTCGTAGAAGAATAGGCCTGGATAGGCCTGTCGCCGATTCGTGCATGTACTTCTCGTGACTTGTTCGCAGATCTAAAAAACAGTTCTTTTGATCAAATCTTTTCAACGGACGGTGGTTCAAAATAGTTTCTAGACTTCAAAGTCCATAGGCTACTAAGCATTTATTCTAGACTAAACATATGCTCCTGCACAGCTACGTCCAGTCTGTTCTTGAACGCGTTCATATTCGGAGCGTCAACAAGTTTGTACATCCCTTTATTTGAGCGTTAGACGTCTTAGAAGAAACGCTCCCATATGAACGAAAATAAATAAATAGAGAAAGAAAATAAACTCACAAATGAGAATTGTTTTGTCGAACTGCGGCAATTACCTTAAATTTTGAGGGACACAAAAACCCGGGATTCAAGATTTCTTCGAAAGAACGACTTACTAGAAAATTTTTTGACGAATAACTATTTTATATTGTAGAGCTGGACATTTCTCTATATTCTCTGTCCTAAAGACGCTCGTGTCTTCTTACTTCGGCCGTGGCAAATGCATTGTTGCAGCCCAACAAGCTAGAATTTTAAATAATAGAGGCTATGAAAATTCTATTTGCTCCCTATCATGATTCATATGGTTTGAGAATTATAAGACCATAAAAGAAGAATTGAAGAATGTATATAAAATTAAACGAATAATCAGGCCAGAGCAGCTTCAAAATCTCTTGCTAATGCTTAAAAGAACCACTGTCAACTTATCACTGCGCGCTCTAATGCAATTCTTCCCCAAACACAACTAATACATTAATACATGTAATTGCTGTTTCCATGACGGTATTCATAACATAACATAACATAACATAACATAACATAACATAACATAACATAACATAACATAACATAACATAACATAACATAACATAACATAACATAACATCTGTCTCTTATACACATCTAGATGTGTATAAGAGACAGACATAACATAACATAACATAACATAACATAACATAACATAACATAACATAACATAACATAACATGCATAACATAACATACATAACATAACATAACATAGTGATGTCGGCGCTAAAGAGTAGGCCTGATGTAGCCTGTCGCCGAATCTTGAACTTTTCGTGACTTGTTCATAGAAGATCTAAATCTTGTCATTTGATCGGATATTTTTATATTCACCGTATGATTTATTTCCTTAGTTGCTTGAATATGCTTAACTAATTTGCAGGTAATTCGTTTAGAAACTCGTGTAATCTTTCCATTAAACATTTGATAGACCACTTCACATTAAACGTTTGATAGACCACTTCACATTAAACGTTTGATAGACCACTTCATATCAAACATTTGATAGATCACTTCACATCAAACATTCGATAGACCACTTCACATTAAAATATTTGATAGACCACTTCACATTAAACATTTGATAGACCACTTCACATTAAACATTTTATAGACCACTTCACAAAAAACATTTGATAGCACACTTCACAATAAACAGTTGATAGACCACTTAACATTAAACATGACCACTTCACATTAAACATTTGATAGACCACTTCACATTAAATATTTGACAGACAATTTCACATTAAACATTTGATAGACCACTTCACATTAAATATTTGATACACCATTTCACATTAAACATTTGATAGACCACTTCACATTAAACATTTGATAGACCATTTCACATTAAACAGTTGATAGACCACTTCACATTAAACATTTGATAGACCACTTCACATTAAACATTTTATAGACCACTTCACATCAAACATTTTATAGACCACTTCACATCAAACATTTGATAGACCACTTCACATTAAACATTTGTTAGGCCACTTCACATTAAACATTTGATAGGCCACTTCACATTAAACATTTGATAGACCCCTAGCACCTCTTAAGTGGGCATTGGACTTGATTAATACATAGATTTTTTTCTGTTGATACCATCATTTTCTGTTGATTACAATCGTACAAGCTTCCTTGTACGATTGCAAATTTCACGCAATTTTCCTCATCGTAGATTAAAAAAAATATATATATATAGTTTGCAAAACTTTATTAATTAAGAACTTTTTGCCTCGTCTTATTAATAAAATTAATATTATAACATATTTTATCACTCATCAATTGCATTCTCTTATTAGAAATAGCCAGGTGTTGAGCAGTAATCCATATCAAATTAATTACATATTGCAGTTATACGTACTGCTTGAATGTAAAATTAGAAGGAATTCCAGCGTCGTGGTAGTTATAAATATTGAAGTTACCGATCAGAAATTTGTTTAGCAAAATTCCTTATAAACTGTTAAATTGTTTATTAATTGTACATTTCTAATTACTTTGCGAACAACAACTATATTGTCAATAGATGGGATCGAAATGTTTCTGAAATAATGACAAATTCGTTAACAACATTGATTGTTGAAAATTCATGAAAATCTTGTTGTTATTTTGATTCGCTCATCAATAATATTCTTCACTGCTG